TAAAAGGAGTCAGGATCGTCACGCACTCTTTCCAGAGTCTTTGCGTACTTTTCGTTCCTTATAGAATTTCCTTTTTTAACCAGCGTATTGTTATCAATAAGGAGCAGCTCACTGAAATATTAAAAGTGAAAGAAGTGAAGATGTCAGAAAGAATTAAAACTGGCTTCCCTTCGAGAAATAAAACCCCAGGCCTTTTAAGTCCTTGTTCCGAAGCTTAATTCCAAAGGGAGTCGGGAATCGGTCATTGGGCAGGAGGGATTTGATCCGTTCCCATCGTTGACAATTAGCTAGCAGTCGATTGTAATCCTCCATTTATACAGTACTCTGTTTGTGACGGCTGATCCCCCTCTGTTCACCCTGATCCCCCCCCCCAACCAAAAAGAAAAAATCCTTTTCACTCTCCTTCCTCTTCGATTGATAAGTAATGACTCTCCTGTAAGTACGGTCGTTGCAATGCGCCTAACAGTTGTACTTGTTATCCGTAATTAAATCTGCACTACCACATAAACGATCGAGCGTGTGATTTACACTACAGTCAGATTTTGAATTAGTCTCACCGCAATCCCGGGTCGTTTTCAATATCTTTTTGGATTCCTTCTGTCGTATTCAGTGCATCTTCCACAGCTTCAGTTACGTTAAATCCATTTCTGGCCAAATCAATGGCGGGTTGAACAAGTTGTTTCCACGGTAACCGGTGATGTCGTTTCCAAGCCTCGTACATACCGCGCACTTCACCGGGAACAGCGATAGCCAGACCACCTTAAATGACAAAACGATTTGGTGGGTGATTTTATCTTTCTTTCTTTTTTTTAATTTCTAGAGATAACTTGAATAATCGTGATTATACTTAAACTAAGGTCTATTTTGGAAAGGTACAAAGGTCTAGAAGACTTTTTGCATATCTACGGTAGACCTTCCCTGTAAATATGTGGCTCAAGACAATCTCTATGGAGACACTTTTATTGCCGTGGTCCGATGAATTTCACAAGGAAATCTTGCGAAGGTTCTTCAAAGCGCTCTTCAATAAGACTTGATTGGCCAGTTTACGAGACAGATATGAGAGGTGGATACTAAGCAACGAAAATTTGTGTTTGTGAGATGAATGAACTGTAAAGGTAGCAAATTTCATTTGTACTGGAGGATTCAAAATTAAGACATATAAACTGATATATCACCATTTATTGATATTACATACCCCAAACAACTAAAAATATCGATGAACTTTGTAAAATCAATCAAAGAATCAACATGATCTTGGTTTTAATAAACCAATAACAGGTTAACGACGAACTAAAAAAGTGTTTTAAACTACGGACATAATTGACTGACCTTTCTTGGATTTATTTTTATCGCCCTTAAACATGTCCTTGTCGGCTGTGGCTGGGGCAGTTTCTCTAAAGTCGATGACTGTGGCATTCTTTGATGTTTGATTATAGATCAACATCACTCCACCGCCTCCTATCCCTGATGAGTGCATGCTGATCACACCCAAACAGAACATGGCGGCGATTGCAACATCCACTGCCGAACCGTTAGCTTTTAGGGTGTCGTTTCCGATTTTGGAGCACTGCAGTGTATCCGTGGCAACCGCTATATTTTTGTAGGGTCCGCTAAATGATTTGTCAGATGATTTCCCAGATGATTGGTCGGGGGAATCTCCTTTTAAGTAAATAGCAAGGAGGCTGCTACCAGTCGTCAAAAGTGAAGTCACGCCCACAACCACGACTATTATGACTTTGCTAAAAAGAGAAGAGTCGGATTAAAGTATTGACTTGATTTTTAGGTCGCATAAAAACTAAATGTGAGCGTTTGCCTCAAAAGAAAAGAGTTGGAACGATATAGCGTATATTATAAAAATACGTCCTCATTAGCGACCAGTTGTGGCGCACGAGTGGCGCTTACTACAAGACATTCGTTTATCATAGACTTCCTTATAATGATAAATACACAGGCCGAGTGTTTTTTCGATTGGAAGAAAGTCCCTTTATAAATGTGTCATTTGTGATTTTTGTCACGCAACCGAAACGAGGGTTTCCACGTGTTCAGTTGTTTTGTTGTGAAATTAAAATTTGAATATGCATCTAATTTCTTTCCTTAGGTCAAGGTACGCGTAGATTACTGCACATCATGGCTTAGGTTTGAGAACATTTCTTGAAAAGATCAGGACTTCTGACAGTAATATTTTCCGATATATGTGTTGGAAACAAACGTCACGATACAGTTTGAAATAGTGAAGAGAGAAAATGCTATTCAGCTACATGTTAGATAAAAGATATTTTTATCAAGTGATATAAATGCAAATTTAAGTTGCTGTTTAAATTAACGTTCTGGTCGATTTTATTTGCGAATTGTCGCGGCAAACAGTTTAGACCCAATGAAGTTCGAATTATGTCCGCTAACAGCAGATACAATCGAAATTATCAAAGCGATATGAAGGAACATAATCAATATGTCGTAGGGATTAAAGTTTTCTGAGAAAACCACGTGGTAGATCACGCGATTTAGCAGAAAACCGATCGAGTGGAAAACTTTATGGACTACTCATGTAGCAGATACTTAAATTTCGT